TCAATTATTAGCCAGTTAATTTGCACATTTAAGTTTGGTTTGCAGTAAGAGTTGCTTTCTAAAAAAACAAAGTGCACCATGTGTTATAAAATAGTTAGTTCATTTCAAATATTTGGATTGTTAAGGAACCTATTTTAACATCTTAGATTAAAGTTTTCAAATATACATTACCTTTTTCTTAAAATCAAGTCTCGATTTCCAAGCAAATGTAAAATCAATCATCATAATTTTATAATGAAGTCAAGATCTCAATATCAATCAAAAATAAAAGATAAGCATTAATTTTACTCGCTCACAACTAACTTTATTCTAATTGGTAAGTTTTTATTTATTTAGTTAACACTATACTTATAGACGTATAATACATTGCCATGACGTGATATTTAAAATAATGCAATGGACTCGGGCAATCATAAAATGTAAAATGCAAACACTGTTTGTTTAGTATTACATTTTATCTTTGCTCGAGCTTTAAAAAATTTTGAACTATTTGAAATAATTTAAATTTTGAGTACTCAAGGATATGAAATCATTAAAGATTTACAAAATTATGAAGTATCAATTTTTCTATAAACTAATTCCATGTAAACATTTCAGTTGATTTGAAATATACAAAAAAAAACCTTGATACAGGGTAAAAAAAAAAAATAGTTGTCACAGTTTACTATTAATTATTTAAAACAGTTGTCACAGTTTACTATTAAAAATATAGAAAACTGAAGAAAAAAAATGCAAAAATTAAACACATGCTATAAAAAACAACTTTTAAACGAGAAAAATTATTTAAATATGACCGATAAATTTTAATGTGAAGTGCTAATAGTATTTATACTTTGTATACCCTTACTTGTATAATTGTAAAATTAAACTTTGAAGCATGTATGAAAAATAAAGTTCGTTATATTAGCAGACTGTCGAGCTCTATCAGGAAAGCATAATTGATTCTGCGTTTTAGGAAAAAAGGAAATTGTAATCACATGATAGCCATAAAATTTAAACTTGCAGTTTATTTTTTTAAATTTACTTGAGTATATATCTGAAGAAACTACATGCACAATTAGATCAAGTTACAAAGTTAAAACAACTTAAAATGTTTCCAAATTAGATTTTTAAAAAAAACATGTTCACAAATTTGAATTCAAGCATGGCATAAAATAAAAAAAAAAAGATTTAGAGGAGAATATTTGTACTTTGAAATTAAATGTTGCTTTTTTATTTGAAGGTTATGATATTGTTCATTTTGTATCTGACATTTTCAGCTTTAATAAAAAATCGTTTAGATATTTTTTGACTGGTTTATCTTTATCTTTTCAATCTCGGGTAAACAGAACCTTTAAAATATTTACCATTATTGAAAACCTTTTATGAAATTTGGAACAATATTTTGTTTGTTGACATTTTCACAACTATGAATATAATCACTTTTATATTGATTTTATCAATAAAAAAGTAATAATAATGTTTTATTATTTTCTTTTAAAATCATAAAAAGCCCCGTTTTAGATATCAATTATTGTTTTCGTTTTTCATTAAATCAATTTTATGCCGTAGGTCAACGCAATACCTACATTAAAGACTGCTGTCAAACTAAAAGTCAATTATTTGTACTTTATTAATTAATTCTAAGTTTTAATATCTTTCAATTTAGAAATGTTTTCAAAATTTTGGAGAAGTTATCTTTTTCTAGGAAGAGACTTTATTATTGACATCAATTGTCTTTTTTTACAAGTTCACATTTATTTTTAAGTAATCTAAAGTCTGACTTATTTTTTTGATAATCGTAAATAACATTTTTGCATTGTGGAATACACTAATAAATTCTACCGATTTTAAAATCAAGTTTTTCAACTTTTTTTATTATAAAACAAGCAAAATTGCAAATGGTAAAAAAATACTGAAAACTATTTAATTCTAATGTTTACGTTTTATAATTGCCAAAGAATATTAAGTCATTTTTAAATATTATATCATAGAAATGTTGGAAGCTACATTAAACCCATAAATTTTTATTTTAATTTTTTTTTTATTCTATTTTCATATCTAAGCATTCTATTATTTACAGTAAAAAATTTTTTAAGGTTAAATATTAGTACGACATGTTTGATGTAAGAGGACCATCATAACTAAAAGTTGTTGTTGACTCCCTAAAAAAGTACGTACGCTTTTGACACCCTCTTCCTAAACTTTTTTTAACTAAAAAGTTTATGGAAAAAAAGATGAGGAGGATGTATCTTAGCTATTTTATACGACTTAAAAGCTCTTTGTTTGCGGCATAGAATCCGAATTTAAATAACCTTTTCAAATATTTATGCGGCTGTGAATTTTAATATAGTTAAATTACCACATATTGACGTGTTTGCTTAATCAAGCGGTTAATGCTGCGGACTGCGGCGACTGAGATCTGTGGTCTATTCCTGGTTGAGTCAAATTGTACATTTTTTATTTTCATGACAAATCAAATAAGAATTAACTATTATTGATGCAGACCTTTTTTAAAAGCAACCCTTTTTAGTAAGTCCGTTCAAAAACGAGTCCTACGCAAGATCAGTAACATCAAAAAATCCAGTGCCAGGATAGGCTACCCTTGCCCCTTAACTTAGGGGAAAGGTAATAGGGGTAGTGGGGAAAGTGACAAAGAATTTTGTGTTGTTTAGTTAATTTTAAGAGCTTTTTATTTTAGCGAAACCTAGCGGTAAAATTTGGGAGAATTTGAGACCCAAATGAAACGTTTTTTGGGGAAGCCTCAGACCAATTAGCCACGCCACTGCAAAAACTTGTTTTTTGTCGATTCAAAAAAAAAATTGCCTGAAACACGCTTTACTCAGGACCAGTATTTAAGGGGTGCTCATGGGTGCCCGAAGGATATTTTGATCTTCTAGATAGGACACTTTCACACATTTGGAATAGGTATACATAAGTTTAGAGCATGCACAAGCTCCAAACATAAGTATGTCTATGCTCAATGTGTAAAATTTTTGCAAGCTCTTAAATCTAAGTATAACTATGTTAATTAAGGGAGCCTTGCAAAAAATTGGGATGACGGAAGCCTAGGAACAACAAAGCCCTAAAACACTTGCCCCCCCCCCCCCCCGGCCCAAGCGTGAGGACACTTAGGTAGTAAAATTTTATCTTTACCCTCTAAAAGCTAAACTTAAATTAATTGACAGATTTTAAATTTCATAGAAAAGTATTGTAAATCAAATAAGTTATGATAATATAAAATTCACACTACTGTTTCGTTCATATTTAGGCAACATTTAACATATATATATATATATATAAATATATATATATATATATTATATATATATATATATATATATATATATATATATATATATATATATATATATATATATATATATATATATATATATATATATATATATATATATATATATATATATATATATATATATATATATATATATATATATATATATATATATATATATATATATATATATATATATATATATATATATATATATATATATATATATATATATATATATATATATATATATATATATATATATATATATATATATATAATATATATATATATATATATATATATATATATATATATATACATATATATATATATATATATATATATATATATATATATATATATATTTGATCAACGTTAATTTTAGTGAGTAAAAACAATCAACTTTTTGCGATGCTTTTACATACTTTCGGACCAATGTAAATTTGCCAGATGTTATTACTTTTGTTGATAATAATTTTATCATTAACCAAATGAAATTAAATTAACGTTGGTTTTTTCATTGGAAAAAAGAGCTGACGTTAGTTATACGAAAATGTAAACTTACATTAAATATTTAAAGTTACTTATGTAATTTACTTTTTGGTAAAAATTAACTTACTCGTGTAAATAAAAAGGAGACTGCTAATATTTTGTATTTTAGTGAGATTTTTTATAGTGCGGTCTTATATTCTGCGTTGTTAAATTTGTTTCGCATAAAAGTAAAACTAATGATAAATAACCCAGTTTTAGTGTAGGTTTAGTCTAGGTTTAGTATAGTGTGAATAAAATAAAAATTTTTATAATGTCAAAACTACAAGACAAAATGTCAACTATTGCTCTTGAACCGAGCTCAAAAAACAATGTATTTATTTGTATGGTTGGTCTATACAAATTAATACGTGACTTTTAAAGTTGTTAACTTCATAGAGTAGAAATCTTTCTTTTAATAAAAACTATATATTAGGGTTCAAGTCACGACCGCAAAGTTTTATAACTTTGACTGCATTTACACAATATTTTATTGGTGTTAAACCGTTATATTAGCTATACTTTTCATATTGATTCACTTTTATGACAGCAATTAAACTTAAAGGTATAGATTAAAAAATAAAAAAGTTATTTTAGTGTAACCAACAATAATACAATATTGTAATTCTGTTAAAAAATAACAATAGTGTAACCAACGTTATCACGTTTTTATATATTCTATAAAAAATATCTTATAAAAACTCTTATTCTTATAAAAACTTACGTTAATTTAATCAATGCAATTACTATAATATTTTTTAATTCTGTTGAAAAATTAAGTTAATGTTACGACCACGTTATGACCACGTTATGACGTTATGACCACGTTATTATACGTTATGACCACGCTAGACTTAATTGGTCAATGTTGTTTAACATAAACCAAGTTTAATACAACGTTGGATCGGTATTGCATTTCTACTGGGAAATAATTTTGTATTATTTAATGTTAACTACTTTATAATTTAAACTGAAGAACAAAAAGAAAAATAGGAAAATCTTGGCTTAAAGATTACCTGTTAAGTATCATACAACACACAATTTATTAAAAAAAAATGTTAAACAAAAAAATACGTTGTTTGTAATGTGCCACAATCAACCATGTGATTACTATTTTTTAATTTAAATGATATTAAAATAACTCCAATCTTTCTACTGAGACATAGATATAAATATTCTCTTTAATATATTTAATGCAGAAAAAGTCAAACTACATTAAATATAGATAAAAGTTTGTCGTGTAAACCTCATTTATAATATATTTCAAGTAAAATCACATAAAATATTTCTTTATTTTATAAAAAATGCATTTTTGAAAAAATGATTCATCTTGTTTATTATTACTTTTATCTTTTACTTTAAAATCATACGGGCAGTACCAGTTATGGTAAACTAATAAAGTAATTGTAGTGAATGTAGTGCTTTAAAAAAAATAAAAGTAAATAGAGTAGTTGATTCAAGGACCTGAATTCCAAACTTGTTTAAAAAAATAAATTTACATGAATAAACTAAAAATAATGTCTAATTAGTCAATATTTTGTTTAAATTAATTAGTTATTTTAATTTATATAAAGTTATACATTTTTACCTGAACAACCTTTTGTAACTAAAAGGTTTCTGACGGTTCCAGGTTGTGGCATATAAAAACCATCGGAAAAATACATTTTTACATTTTCAAAAACTTTTGCATCTGCGTTTTTTACTGATGAGATGGTAATACCGTCAACTTTTAAGGTAGAAATATAGTCACCATGATATAATAATTGACTTAAGTTAAATTTTTTTAATCCTGCGCTATACGAACTTGTTGTTACTCGATAGTTAGTACCATTTTTATAGGAATCATACGTCAAAACTCCGGTATTTTGAAACCACACACCCAAAATTCTATTTCCGTAAGCAGTCGAATCATCGGTACCAATCGTGAATCGAAACAAGTTTGCACACTGACAATAACCATTATCAGGAGTACCGTATCCTGAAGTAAACGAGCTTAAAAAAACTTCAAAAGTTATTTCGTATTCAATTGGAAAAATTTGAAATGTTTTAAGAAGATTGTCTGATGTCAAAACAAAGACTTCATTTTTTTGATACAACTCTGAAATTTAAAAGTTTATATGTAAAGAAATTTACTTGTTTGTGTGCCTATCTATCTATCTATCTATCTATATATATAAATATAATATATATATATATATATATATATATATATATATATATATATATATATATATATATATATATATATATATATATATATATATATATATATATATATATATATATATATATATATATATATATATATATATATATATATATATATATATATATATATATATATATATATATATATATATATATATATATATATATATATACAGGGCCAGCGCGAGTAGGGGTCACGTAGGGGGGGAGGAGGTAGTGCCAACTTTTGCGGTCTAAAATAAAAAAGAAAAAAAAAAAAAGGTACTTAATTTACCGACTGCCATAACAACATTTACCGACTGACTTTACCGACCTACCTATCGACAGGGTCTACATTTGCCGACTAACTAGTCAAAAAGGGTCACATTTGCCGACTAAGGGTCAAATTTGCCGACTAAAAGTCATTGATGGGAGGGGGGTGTTACACCCCCACAACCACTATCGCGCCGGCCTTATATATATATATATATATATATATATATATAATATATATATATATATATATATATATATATATATATATATATATATATATATATACATATATATATATATATATATATATGTATATATATATCCTTATAGTGTCGTCGAAAGAGTCGTTTAATGTAAAAAAAGTCTCTTTCGACTACAATTTTAATTACCTCGCCTCTTAAGCTGTATTTGATTGTCGTCGAAATGTCAAAGCAATTAAATTAATGCGGAAGTACATTAAATTTTATTGTTTTTTAAAAAACCGCAATAATAACGACTAGAAAGTTTTTTTTAATTTGTTGTGTTTTTGTTAAGAAACATTTTTAAAACATGCGTAAATGTTGCTAAATCGACTATCTTATAGCCTGACTCGCAACGGAGTGCTGCTACATTGACTGACAAATAGCCTAACTCACAACGGAGTGCTGCTACATCGACTGACAAATAGCCTGACTCGCAAGGGAGTGCTGCTACATCAATTGAGGGTTTGGTTTGGGAAGGCAGTCTATCATTTGAAAAAAAAAAAAAGTTAAGTTTTTAAACTTTTTCTAGTCTGGTTTATTAACGCGCTCTTTAAAACTACAGTTTATGGGAAACTCTTTTCAACTAGTATGCAAGAGTACATATATATATATATATTATATATATATATATATATATATATATATATATATATATATATATATATATATATATATATATATATATATATATATATATATATATATATATATATATATATATATATATATATAGTCTTGCATGTCTCTTGCGTAGCATCAAAAAATATTTCCCATAAACTGTAGTTTTAAAGAGCGCGTTAATAAACCAGACCAGAAAAAGTTTTAAAAATTAAATTTTTTTTTTTAATTGATAGACTGCCTGGCCAAACCAAACCCTCAGTCGATGTAGCAGCACTCTCTTGCGAGTCAGGCTATTTGTCAGTCGATGTAGCAGCATTCCCTTGCGAGTCAGGCTATTTGTCAGTCGATGTAGCAGCACTCCGTTGCGAGTCAGGCTATTTGTCAGTCGATGTAGCAGCACTCCGTTGCAAGTCAGGCTATTTGTCAGTCGATGTAGCAGCACTCTGTTGCGAGTCAGGCTATAAGATAGTCGATGTAGCAACATTTACGCATGTTTAAAAAATGTTTTTTATTAAATCAATAACAAAAACACCACTAATTAAAAAAAACTTTCTAGTCGTTATAATTGCGGTTTTTTAAAAATTTGTTAAAAAACAATTAAATTTAATGTACTTCCGCATAAATTAATTGCTTTGACATTTCGATGACAATCAAAAACAGCTTAAGAGACGAGGTAATTAAAATTGTAGTCGTAAGAGACTTTTTTTACATTAAAATGCTCTTAAAGCGACACTATATGAGTATATATATATATATATATATATATATATTATATATATATATATATATATATATATATATATATATATATATATATATATATATATATATATATATTATATATATATATATATATATATATATATATATATATATATATATATATATATATATATAGGGCGCAACAAATCGACGAAATTGCGAACGTTTGTTAAAAAAAAGACAGAAAAACGAACGTCACGTTTCCTTTCTTTTACTTAAGCAAACGTTGGCGTTTGCCAAATTTTTTTAAAAACGAGCGCATATCTTCAGCAATTTTTTAATTCCAATTAATAATGCGACTGATAGTTTTTTATTTATTATAAAAAAAAACATAATATATAAAAAAAATAACTTACTAAAATTTAAAACGCAGTTTTAATGACATTAAAAGAAACCATGTTCAATAGCGTTTCTTTTAAGTATGCAACTGTATAAAAAATTATATTTAGCATGGTTATTACATGCATTTACAAAAGAATCGCCAGTTTAACTTAAAATGAATGCATTTGCAATTACCTTAAACGGGACCATGCTAACACATTCTTTTTCCCAAGGCGTGCTTTTTTTAAATTTTCTTATTATCATTAAATTAATGTTTATTTGCTGTTTTCAAAGTTTTAAAAACAACTACCAATAATATAATATTTTTTTATTAATTAATAAATATTATAAATACAATAATAGCATATCAGGTATTTGATAGTAACTTATTAAATTATAAATTTAATAACTTATTAAATGCTTAATACTATATTATTATTTTTAAATATTTAAAAAATAAAAATGTCAAAATAACTTTTATTTTATTTTTATATAGTTCCCTTTTATTTAAATTTTGTCAAGTTTATATCTTTTTTTAATAATTTAACAAACTAAATTGTGAAAACTTCACTATTTTGTATTAATAGATAATAGAAATAGTTTACAGTGAAAAGTTTATTGCTTATTAGTTATCATTAATTTGCGCACACTTTGCAAATGCGTGAAAAATTGTTTTAAATTAATAAAAATTAATGAAATTCGATAAGTATCTTTGATATATCTAATTATTATATATCTTATTAACTAGAATAAAATTAATTTGAAAATAAAACTCCCTTAAAATTAAATAAAAAAATTATTTAAATTGAAAAAAAAAAAAAATGAAACTAGCTAATTCTGGGTGGGTTTTTTCACACGGGTTCTAAGTGGAGGTGCGCAACCATCTATTAATGAAAAAAGTCCTCTATATCTTGAATTTATCTTAAATAAAAAAAAAATATAAAAAAAAATTAAAAAAAAGTGTGTATGTGTGGAGGGGGGAGGGTTGAATATTTGACATACCTCTTAAATTAGACGTTCGTCAATAAATAAAGAAACGTCTAGCAAGTTTAAATGGCATTAATCCTGCATGATTTATTACAAAAAAATTTATAATTGAAATTTTATTGAGTTAGTATTTTATTATTATATTTTTATTAAATCGTTAACAAAAAGTTAATAAACATAAAGTTATCTATACTCATATTCATTAAATATGCCCAGTGGGCACAGGACGTAAAAAAGACGTCCTGTGCCCACTGGGCATATTTAATGAATATGAGTATAGATAACTTTATGTTTATTAACTTTTTGTTAACTTAGGACGTTCAAATCGCGTCCGTCCGTCGCATTAAAATTCTAAACATCTTTTGAACGTCTTATTCGCGTCCAATAATTTTTTCGTCCAAAAAATATCCAGAATGCTTTATTAAATTAAAAAAAATCAGTTAAATCACGCAAGCGCTAAAACCTCATAAAATTTTTAAGTAACGCGTTTTTAATAAAGTTTTTTCAATCACAAAAGAAGTCTTTTTACAACAACTAATAGACACGTTCCATCTAATTTTTGTTTTTGTTATCAATTGAAAATTGTGGTAATATTGATACAGGTTATGAAATTTTTACAGATAATGAAAGAAACGGTTTAAAACTGAATATATGCTATACTATGTATATATATACTTGATATACTATTAGTATAGTATTGCTATATCAAGAACCAAGTTCTAACAATAAGATATAGACATCTCATGCAGAATCAATTTTTTCAATAGGAAAACCTGTTAATGATCATAAAACAATTATCCTGATAATTCTTTAAATTCAATGTCTTTACTAGACAATATTATGCTATTTTATAATGGAACCAGTACATTAGTTAATGATCTTCTTGAATTATTGCCAAATCAAGGTTTGGAACTTCCCAAAGATTCAAGGAGAATTTTAAAAGCAACTTATGAAAAGCGACTTATAGACAGGTTCTTGCTAATTTATATATATTTTTTTAGACGTTTAATTACTTGAGAATCGTATTAATATTGATACATATATTGAAATAAATAGTTAAAAACTGGGTATATGATATACTATATATATATATATATATATATATATATATATATATATATATATATATATATATATAATATATATATATATATATATATATATATATATATATATATATATATATATATATATATATATATATATATATATATATATATATAGTATATATATATATATATATATATGTATATATACATATATATATATATATATATATATATATATATATATATATATATATATATGTATATATATATATATATATATATATATATATATATATATATATATATATATATATATATATATATATATATATATATATATATATATATATATATATATATATATATATATATATATATATATATTTATATACTTACATATTAAGTATATACTTGACACTTGATATAGTATTTTAATTATAATAATTGATATACTATATCAAGAACAAAGTTTTGACTGTTTGAAAGACTTAGACATCGCAGAATCTCATGCATAGTCATATTTTTCAAGAGGAAAACCTATTAATAATACAGAGAGTTTATGGTGATAATTCAATATAATTCAATATCTTTAATTAACAACTTTTAGATTGTTCTATTTGGAATAATTGGACCAGTACATTAGTTAATGAATT